CAATGAAGTGTTGTATTGCAGTGAACATGGTATGTCGCAGTGAGCCGGGCGGAGGGCGGGGCGGAGGGCGGGCGGGTAGCTATATGTTAATTTATAATTAACTTTGTTTCAGCAAGTTTAATGAGACCCAGATGTTTACACGGATTTTCACTTTGAAGTAGGTGGGGTGCTCATACCTTTCATACAATAATATAATTTGACAACCTCGATGGTCTAGTGGTCTAGAACACCGCTTTACGTCCGACGGTCGCGGGTTCGATTCCTCGCACGGCATAAACATTTGTATTCATGAGTATGACTGTTTGTATCGGTCTGGGTGTTTTCTATGTATAATATGTATGTATTTATGAAAAAAAATTATCTATGTATTTGTATCAGTTGTCTAGTACCCATAACACAAGCTTTAGCTACCTTAACTTGGGTCTAGATGGCGCTGTGTGAATTGTCCTGAGATTTTTATTATATTATTATTACTAGCTGTTCCCGCGACTTCGTCCGCGTGGAATTTATTTTTATAAATTTTTTTCTACAATAAAAAAAATCTAAACTAAAAGTAACCTAAGTTACTCCTTATTACATCAGCAACCTACCAAAAAAAGTCCCGTCAAAATCGGTCCAGCCATTTCAGATATTAGCCGAAACAGACCGACAGACAAAAATGTTATTTTGTCGTGTGTACCGTATTTATATTCATATGCATGTAGTAAAAAACGGTTATTTCAATATTACAAACAGACACTCCAATTTTATTTATATGTACAGATTATATCTCCATAGTTGAAGTAAAACAAGACTGTCACATACACTAATTGAGATCCGGCCGTGAAAGAAACTAATATTTTCCTATTATGTATTGATACTGGAATACGTTCGGCCGCCCACACTTGTTATATTCATGAAAATGTAGTTACGGCTCTGAAAGAGATTCTTATACAGACGGTGCCAAAAATATACATGTCATTTTATATGTATTCGTTTTTGTATATAAATTACTAGATACTCGCCCCGGCTTCGCCCGAGTGTACATGTATTATACATATAAACCTTCCTCTTGAATCACTCTTAACGATAATAATGTTTTTATAGAAAAACTTTAAACCCATAGCACTGACAATATCTGATTACACTAGTAATGAGTGCGTAGCGATTTCTATGTTGATTATCGCATGCCTCTTACTTGTTATAGTGTAATTATTTATATAAAAAAAAACATCTATTAAAAAGAGCAACACACAAGTTTCTTGCTCGTTCTTCTTGTGATGAATCTGCATTCCGAATGAGTGGTAGAATCAAAATATGACTATTCAAAAGTGCTTGTAATGAGTTTATTTGAATAAAGATTATTTCTATTCTATTTCTATTTCTCTATCTATTAAAAACACCGCTTCAATATCCGTTGCGTAGTTTTAAAGATTTAAGCATACATTGGGACCGACAGCTACAGCGACTTTATTTTATACTGTGTAATGATAAGTAATTCTATCTAATTAAATTTAATAATTCATATGTCTACTTATAATCATGTTCAAACACATATGAAAATAATAAGAGCTTCTTGTCAGTTCTTCTCAGCCCGAAAGCACCCCAAACTGACAGTAGATTTGACATATCATGAGTCTGTAATAGATATACAAGAATAGAATAGAAAATCATTTATTCAAATAAACTCAATTTAAGCACTTTTGAATGGTTATGACATTTTTTTTATCTACCGCTCATTCGGAAAGCTGTCTCATCACAAGAAGAACGAGCAAGAAACTTGTGTGTTGTTCTTTTAAATAATCCTTGTAAGTTTACATTTACAAGTCGAAACGTGTGAATACAAACTACCAACCAGCACTAATTTATTAGGGTCAAATATAAATATACAATAAGATTAAATCAGTCGTAGTGATAAGAGCAGACCAGTCCCTACAAGCAGCACTCGTTCACGAGTAAGTCGGATGAGCCAGCCATCACTGCGCTCGACCATATTTTAGGGCCCCCAAAGACCCGGCCCACCACGCCGCCACATGTCTGGACATTTTAGCGAGCATGACTACTCATTCCACTCGACCATGACACAGCTACTTAAAATTACTATATGGTAGTTACAGTATTCGCATTTTACATGAGGATGCATGCGGCAATCAATACAAAAGCCGCTACGCTATCATATATCAAGAAAGCAGTATGAAAAATAAATTATAACGTTGTCCGCAAATAAACTTATTCTTGCTATATATTGCTATCATCTATAAATTCATCTATCTTTATAATAGACTTTTTTACATAACATTTGTTTAATATAAAATTTGAATTGCCTCTCTGTCAGATTTAGTGTAGATTTTGGCAGTTTGTTATAGAATCGTAATGAAAGAATTATAAGATAGTAAATTTGTATTCATAAACATGACTTTATTGATTCATTTAAAAATTTTATTTATTCTTTTAATTCTTTTCATTTCAAATTGTACAATTTGGCGAGCTGAATGCCATATGGCATACTCTACCAGCTAACCATCAGGTAAGAACAGAAAGCGGTTGATGGGCAGTGGTGGAATAGAAATAGAAATAATCTTTATTCAAATAAACTTAATATACACTTTTGAATAGTCAAGTTTTTTGATTCTACCGCTGGGAAAGGACTAACCAATATTTTACCTAACATAGGTATATAGATCTTCAAAAATGATTGTTTGTTTCTTGAATGAAGTATTTATGAATTTATATCAGTCTAGTACCCATTACAAAAGTTCTGCCTAACTTGAGACTAGATGGCGCTGTGTGAATTGTCCTGAGATATTATTATTATCTTTATCACATCGTCATACCTCGGTGGATTAGCGATTTAGCACACCGCTTTACTTCCGATGGTCGCGGGTTCGATTCCTCGCACGACACAAGCATTCATGAGTATGATTGTTAGTATCGGTCTGAGTGTTTTCTATATATCTATGTATTTATCAGTTATCTAGTACCAATAACATAAGCTTTAGGTAGCTTAACTCGGGACTAGATGGCGCTATGTGAATTGTTCAAGGACATAAGATATACGCATACGCCCGGCCCTTCGCTTCGTATTATACAAATGGTTTTTTTATTGCCGCCAAGTGAGTTCGTGAAACAATCCCATTAAGTACCATATAACAACGATTTATTCAATATTACAATGTGCAATTAATTAAATTGAATAAATCATTTGTTGAATTATACGCGTTGGCGATTTACGTGTGTAAATGAAATACTTTCTTTTGTATACGGACCTAATATATTAGATGCATGATTTGTGAATGTAGTGGCCCGTTTTTAAATTAGCAAAATCATAATAGAGGTGTACAATAATAAAAAAAGCACCAAATACTTTTTGTTAATTTAAAACGTTAACATTTAATTCTCTTAATAATATATATGTATGTATGCTACCAACCTTCTTGCATGAACTAGCCATATAACACAGATACATTTAATAAAAAATAGATTGTAAAATGTCAAATTCATTCGCTTGCAAATTACTGATCTAAATAAGTTGTTAAATTAATTATTATTTGTTATTTTTAATTCTGATATTCTATACACCGTCATATATTCAATCTTTTATTAATATCACTCCTTCTCTTCGTATCAACACGCCAACCTAACCACATGTATATAACTAGCTTTTGCCCAATGTGGAATTTATCAAAATTCTTTCTTAGGGGATGCCTACGTCATAGTAGCTTTATGCATGCAAAGTCTCAGCCCGATCGGTTAAAATTGACAATGTTTCATACAAACTTTCATCCCCCATTTTATCTCCTTGGGGGTAGAATTAATCAAAATCCATTCTTAGCGGATGCCTACGTCACAACATCTACCTGCATGCCAAATTTCAGCCCGATCCGTCCAGTGGTTTGGGCTGTGCGTTGATAGATCATTATGTCAGTCATCTTTGAGTTATATATATTTAGATGTTTGGAAAATGGGTGGAAAGTTTTAATGCCTTGTTATTATAGATCACTTAGAACCGTATTTGACCATGCATAGCGTTCCTGACGTAAGATTTTATTTTTTACCGATTTCTTACAATTTAAATAATAATCTCAGGACAATTCCCAGAGCGCCATCTAGACCCAAGTTAGGCTAGCTAAAGCTTGTGTTATGTGTACTAGATAACTGATACATATATATATATTAGATAAGACATTTGTCTTATTATACATATATTATTTAGATAATTAAAAAAAAAAATTTATATATTTACCTAAATTGCAATTTTGTTGCGATTTAATTATGTGACGAAGGAAGGAGTAAGATGTACAGGTAATGAAATATTTTATGACTACAAAATACCTATGATGTATTTTTTTTGATGATTTTAATATTCATGATGTTATAAACATTCACAACAAAATACCGGAGTCTGTTATAAATCTGCCTGAAAAAAGATTTAAATGTCATATAAAATACTTCCTTTGCAAGAAAGCTTACTATAAAATTGAAGAATTCGTTAACGATAATAATGTTTATATAGAAAAACTTTAAATCGATAGCACTGACAATATTATTTGATTACACTAATAATGAGTGCGTAGCGATTTCTATGTTGATTATCGCATGCCTCTTACTTGTTATACTGTAATTATTTATATAAAAAAAACATCTATTCAAAAGAGAAACACACAAGTTTCTTGCTCATTCTTCTTGTGATGAATCTGCATTCCGAATGAGTGGTAGAATCAAAATATGACTATTCAAAAGTGCTTGTAATGAGTTTATTTGAATTAAAATTATTTCTTCTATTTCTATCTATCTATAAAAAATATTTTAAAAAAAGGATATCTCTTTTGAGAAAATATAGTCTCAGATTCGATTCTCAATCAAGACACATTCTCCTGACTGAGGAAATTATTAAAATTTTTCGAATCCATGTATGTGTATTGGGCTAGACTCCTAGCTGTTCGTGGTCCGTTTTTTCTTTAGTCACCTTAATTTATAGACCTTAGCACTTATAATTAGGGGATGAGTAATGAGGTACTTGCCTGGGCGTAGGGCTGTCATCGGTGTACACCTCGAGGAGGAAGGTCTGCGGCAGGCCGCCGTCGAACCCCGCCACGCACCAGACTTCGACAGACTCTGCTGTCTGGTTCCATAGCGTGCAGTTTCGTGGCGCATGAGGTTTACCTAGTAACAGAAAATGAAGGCAGTGTTGAGAGCATCACTATATCTACTATTGTTAGAGTTCACATCAATATTGTAGAAAAATCCAAAATTTTAAAATGATATTAAAAGAAGGTAGTTTGTTTTTAGTACTAATGAAGTACCCAATATAGAGATTATTACAAATATTGAAACTGAGTCAAGGTTCGTAACTCCTGTGCCTTTAGACTAAAGTCGTATCCATCAGGCGAGAGTTAGTCTTCATCCGCTCCATAAGTCCTTCCTTTGTTTGGAGTGCCATCGGCACTCGCCCCATATCGTCCGGTGAAGCTGTAAAGGCCAGCTACGGCCAACAGCATTATGCTACGTTTACACTCAGCCTCAGCCGCTGCCGGAAATATTGCCGGGCGACAACTGAGCGAGAGGACTGAATGTAAAAAAACCACGCTGCCAGTTCTTTGACTCGCGCACGAAAGACCAACAATCGAGGGAGCACCGGGCAGCGCCAATGGCATGGGTACTTTCCACTCGTGTTTACACTCTCGCGCTGCTCACTTCCGTGCTCATTACCCCGCTCACTCGGGCTGAGTGTAAATTGGGCATTCGAGTAGTACGAAAAATATATATAATTTAGTATTTTGTAACATTTTTAATATCCATATACTCTTTCCTCATACGTGGTGTTTCATTTCGAGGTTTTTGGGCTGACTGTTCATTGTTCGCTTGGGTACCTACATACTTTAGCAGTCAAGCCTTGCTTTGAAAGTTAGATAAATCTTATTTATATTAAAGAGAACAAATAAAGCAAACATACAAAATAAATACACAAACTACATTGGTCAGTTAACAATATACATATATGCCCATCAAACGTTTGCACCGGACGAATTGAACTTGCGACCATCAAGAGTAAAACGGTGTGTTAAATTGCTACTACTACTACTACTACTAAATAGAGAAGTGGTATGTCACCTGCAGCCACCATCTGGAAGACACAAGGCGCCAGTTGGGTGCCAACTTCATTGGAAGCGGAGCACGACAGCGTGCCGTAGTCCAGGTCTGCTACTGGAGTGTACCTGGTGCACAGCATAAGGTAGTAAAAATAAAGAATTTCATGGTAATCATTACATAGTGTAAAATAAAGTCGCTGTCGTTGTCTGTCCCTACATATGCTTAAATCTTAAAAACTACGCAACGGATTTTGAAGCGGTTTTTTTTAAGTAGATTTTGGGTCGATGAGGGAGGTTTATATATATAATTCAAGTACACCCGTGCGAAGCCGGGGCGAGTAGCTAGTAAAATTATCTGTACATATAAATAAAATTGGAGTGTCTGTTTGTAGTATTGAAATGACCGTTTTTTACTACATGCATATGAATATAAATACGGTACATACACATTAAAACCGCTTTTTACAATTTATGTCTGTCTGTCTGTTGGTCTGTTTGTTTCGGTTAATCTCTGAAATGGTTGGACCGATTACAACGGGACTTTTTTTAGCAGGTAGCTGATGTAATAAGGAGTAACTTAGGCTATTTTTATCTTGAAACATTCTTTTATTTTAGAAAAATAAAGTTAAATTCCACGCGGACGAAGTCGCGGGAACAGCTAGTATAATATAATAAAAATGTGTTTCTAATAAAGATAATATGAGTGTAAAATTGTGTATTAAGGTGGCAGGATCTCACTTGAGGCTGGAGGCGCTGCCGTTGGAGGTGTACCGGTCAGCAGCGACGTCTATAGTCTCTCCGGAGTTGTTGAACTTCCACTTGAAGACGGCCGCGGGGGGGTCGGCGTCCACCTCGCACACGATCACCACCGACTCGCCGCGCGCCGCGCCCACCACTGCCACACCACCGCTGCGGCACGACGGCGAGTCTGGACGGTCACAGTACAGTTACAGTCATATTACGTTTTTAATCCATTTATTTACTTATAAATTCCATACTCTATATCTCGTTATTAATATTATAAATGCGAAAGTAACTCTGTCTGTCTCGCTTTCACGTCAAAACTACTGAACCGATTTATATGAAATTTGGTACACAGATAGTCTAGACCCTGAGAAAGGACATAGGCTACTTTTGAATGCGAAAAAAGGGTTGTAAGAGGTTGAAAGTGGGGATGAAATATGGTAAGGAAGAATAGTCATTTTTGAAGCTAAAAGCTTGAAACTCATTTTTGTTGATTAAATATGAATAAATATGACATTCGAAGTTTTGAAAGGAATGAAAGTTAGTAGATAATAAAATAGATGAAAGTTTTTACACCCAAGTAACATATAGAATATAAATAATTAAAAATATATTATGTAAATTGGGCGATATATCTTATGAAAAGTGTATAATATGAATGTGGATGGATGTAAAGGGAGGAGACGCCCTAAGAAAAGATGGATGGATTGTGTGAAAGATGATATGAATAAAAGAAGAGTATGTTCAGATATGACGACCGATAGAGAGCAGTGGAAGAGAATGACATACTGCGCCGACCACAAATAATGGGACAAAGGCAAGGCAATGATGAATGATGATAATGATAAGTGTGATGCAGAGGAAGCCGCGCGGGTCAGCTAGTATGTCATGTAATAAGACTCTGTAAATATAATTAATGAAATAAAATATAAACTAGAAAAATGATTATAGATATTTTGTTTTAGATTTTTAATGACTTTGCATGCATAAAGCTACTATGATGTAGGCATTCCCTAAGAAAGGATTTTGATTAGTTCTACCCACTAGGGTATGAAATAGGGGATAAAAGTTTGTATGAAACTTTGTCAATTTTAAACCGATCGGGTTGAAAATTGGCATGCATAAAGCTACCATGACGTAAGCATCCCCTAAGAAAGGATTTTGATTAATTCTACCCCCTAGGGGATGAAATAGAGGATGAAAGTTTGTATGAAACTTTGTCAATTTTGAACCGATCGGGCTGTCTTTGCATGCATTAAGCTACTATGACGTAGGCATCCCCTAAGAAAGGATTTTGATTAATTCTACCCCCTAGGGGATGAAATAGAGGATGAAAGTTTGTATGAAACTTTGTCAATTTTAAACCGATCGGGCTGAGAATTGGCATGCATAAAGCTACCATGACGTAAGCATCCCCTAAGAAAAGATTTTGATAAATTCCACCCCTAAGGGGATAAATTAACGCGAGCGAAGCCGCGAACAAAACATAGTTCTGCATAAACGGGATCGTATTATAGTGATTTTATAATAGCATCCCGGCCCACCCCAGATAAAGCTATAAAGCGAGTCAACCTGTCACTATCGGGAATCAGTCGTCCCTGGAAAGCTATCCAATCAGGTAAAAAGAGGAGATAGTTGACGGAAATTCCCGGCAAATGAACGGTGACATGCGACGAATATTGCATCGAATACATTAAGTGGTACAAACGTGAGAGTCTCATCACACGAAGCACTGCTCAGCAATGCTCACACTTAATATAGACTTAACATCTATACATATAAATGAAATTGGAGTGTCTAATTATAATATTGGAATAACCGTTTTTTACTACATTCATATGAATATAAATACGGTACATACAACGATATCATTTTTTTTAGCAATTTGTCTGTCTGTCTGTTTGTTCCTAATCTCTGAAATGGCTGGACCGATTTTGACGGGATTTTCTTTGACAGGTAGCTGATGTAATAAGGAGTAACTTAGGCTACTTTTATTTTTGATAAATAAAGTTAAACTCCACTCGGACGAAGTCGCAAATGCAGCTAGTAGACAATAAGATTTCTTATAGAAATCATATAACATTACACCTAATTTGGTATTCATAATAATCAAGGATAACTGTAACCATAACCGTAACCGTAAGCATGCCCTAAGAAAGGATTATGATAAATTGAAAGGGGATAAATTAACGCGAGCGAAGCAGCGGGCAGAAGTGGTATTATAAAAAAAAATTAAAATATGTAATCTTAAATCACATCTATTATAAATTGATGCCTGATAGGGTATAACTGTTGATACATATCTTTACATATAAAATGATATCGTTGCCACTGTTAGATCTTTTAAACTACGCAACGGATTTTAATGTAGTTCTTAGTAGATAGAAAAATCTAGTATCATCGTAAGCACAGATTATTATATTAGAGCCCGTTAGTTTGTGTTCCCGCGGCTTTCCCTGCCCCTCCCTTAACTAGTAACAGACGGACCGTACAGCGGCCTTGACGCGCGCGCGCGGGTGTTGTGAATTAAAATAAATTAGAACTGTGAAAACCTAACCTGGGTTAAACCTACTGTGAAAGTGTGTGAAAGCTAGCGAAGATACCTTCGAGACCCTGAAGCCCAAGAAATCCGCAGAACCATACGCAGGTATCCGCAGAACCAGGCGCATATGCAGGTATTTAGACTGACGATCCCCCTATTTTTACCTATATAAATGCACCTATATTTTTACCTATATAAATTCCCAAACATTTTGGTAGCAGAGTAGTTTCCCAAACATAGAGTGATTCAAGTGTATAGAATAAATTTCTTCTATTCTATACTTTGAACACAGAACTCCTTATTTTCGAAGTCGGTTGTAAATGATGAACGTACTCAGTTGACATTAGCATCCGAGGGTATATAAGTGGCTGTTCAGGGTAGCACGCGCGGTAGCGAGCGAGCGCCGGCGTGGAGCGACGCCCCGCGACGTCGTTTATAACGCGACGTAATTGGTCGTGAAATTGGACGGAGATATGCGGAAATAAACCAACACACATACAAATATTTGTGTATTTAGAATTATTGTTGTACTAGCTGTACTTGAGACTTCGTCCGCGTGAAATAGTGACCTTGACCAAATAATGAAAAATATTTAGTAATCTAACCCAATAAAAAAGTTTCATCGTTCTAGCTTCAAAAATGAAAATTTCCATACAGAATTCTGTACAACTCTATCTTTTTAGGCTGTTGATTGTGTTGTTTGGAATTCTCTATGTAAATTCGTCATTATTTAAGCAAGAACGATGAAACTTTTTTACAGCTTTTGCAGGTACAGCTAGTATTAGTATATATAGAAGTTAGGTATAGCTTTGGCTCGACGGGCACTTTGGTTACTCGAGCATAACTCGATCCGAACCCGAGCCGCAACTCACCGAGTGACGTCATGATCAAGTCCGGACATGTTATGCCATTATCAATGTGAATTCGGCTGATAACGTGGCGGGGTTAATGTAGGGCGGTGGTGCGGCCCCTACGCCGCATGGCCCGTAGGCGGCGAAGAAGAAGGCGGACCACAAAATTGGAAGCACCAAAGTATGCCGTCCGCCCAAACAGGCGGCGAGAGTGGAGGATGGATGCTGAGGAGCAGCGTCCGTCACCTCCCACCATGGGAGCTGCCTCACGGCAGCTGACGCGAGGCGTCAGCTGTCACCTAAGGAGGTATGAGGCCAGGAGTAGGCGCGCGTGGTGTCCGCGCGTGCCATTCAGGAGTGGGGCTGAAGAGCCCGCGCTGCCGGGGTTTACGGTTGAATATCACCTGATCCCGTAACCCCGGCACCAAGGCGCTCGGAGGACGAATGAATGAATTAAGGTCGTCCGCTGGTCCTTGCGGACTGCAGGGTTCGGGCCTCGAGCAGGGCTCTTTGCCCGGGCCTACTGCTGGGGTGAGCCACCCCAGCGTCGTTCGTTTAACGGCCGGCTTGCCAGCCGGCCGGAAGGCGCCTGCTTTTCAGCAGGCGCCTGTAAGCGTACTGTGGTGGGAGGCATATTTTGCTCGCCGAGCCGGCTTAACGCCGCCACGTCACGTAAATGACGTGATCACTCGGTTCGGATCGGCTCGGAGGACACCAAGGGGTTGTAGCCGGTAGGAGTCCGGCAGTACTCGCACGCTTCCCCCGGGGCGTGTGGGTCTCGATGACGGATTTCCCCTTGTAAAAAAAAAAGGGCGCTGGTGCGAGTGCATCCGAGGTCAAGACCGCCGAATGGGACGAGAAACTATTACGTTCGCGATTAATAATGGATACAGCATATTGAGGGACTCAAACGCCGTCATCGTATCTATAGGTCGCCATATGTTATTTGTAGCAGGTAGTTTGGAAACCCTTACCGATATGGTATTATGTAATGTTGAGGATAATATTGAACAGATGTAGAAAAATTGGTTAATTCATAATTCAATGTGTATCATAGATTCACTGTTGCTCAATTATAAGTTAAAATGTACATTACAATCAATAATTTTTACTTAAAACTCTGAAACGTTAAAGTTGACAAAAATTTTTAAAAAAGTAACTCCCTTATTTGTAAATTGTGGATTAGAAAAGATTGCATCTAAACATAAATATTTCAATATTATAAATGTGACTGTAGCCGGAACACAACTACTATTTTCATTAAAAATCAAATAATAGTAAAAAATTGTTTATTTTCCAGAATCGCTCACAGCGAAGAGGAAAGTTACAGGAGTTAAAACTGACTTAATAAAAACAATTATCAAAAATATAAAGTTCATAAAAGTAATGGTAGACAAGCTGCCAGCAACAATAAATATTGACATAAAAACAAAATTTGAAAGGAATCATAATAAACAATTTCATGTTCTAATTTAATAACCACAATCAATCAACAAATGAGTAATCGGTTTAATCAAAAAACCAGTATACAGAACGAGCCGTGCCGCAACGACTTCATTACAAGACGGTTTTGAAAAATTACAGCATCACCCACAGTTATGCTTGCTATTAAAAATCCCATCTTATTTGGCAGGATTATATCTTGCAATTGGTGAAATAGATAGCTGGCTATTACCGAAGGAGAAGGCGGGATGGGGCGGGAGAGGGCACTGTTGTGTTTCCAACAAAGATTCAGTAGTTCGACTTCCAAACCAACTAAAACACTACCAATCTGAATGTAGAGGTATATTAACGAAACTTCAAAAAGAACTACAAAATTTTAATAAAGAGATATCTCAATAACAATATACAACAGCAAACACTGCTCTAGTTGAATCAGTACAAGTATATTTTTTAATAAGGTAAAATTCTGAAGTTATATGTTTTGTTAATTGTAAGCACAAAGTCATATAAAAGTCGTAGTTACCTATAATTAATATATATATTAGAATGTGTTATATATAATGTAATTGCGTTAGTATAAACCTTGTTGGTGATGTAATAAATTAAAAAAAAACTTCTAACTACAATTCTTTTAACATTTGCAAAACAGCAATAACTGTTTAATTATAGACGAAGTTAAAAACAAAATATGTATATGTTAAAAGGTAATTTTAAACGTTACCAGTAAATAACTAATCGATATCTTATTTACAATCATTATTTTCTAAGCCTGAGCCACCAAAACAGATTTTGCCCTCCAAAGAGGGGTTTAAATCTATCACATTTAGAGGTAATACAGTTGGAGTGGCAACACTGGGCTCGGTCGCCGCGGCCTAGTCAGCGGAGCACCCGCTCACCTGCGCCTCACTACTAACGGGGCTTTAATTTATATCCTTTATTTATTCTTCAGCAACCGAGCTGACTTTAATCACCGCAATCCAATCCGCACTCTAATTGACTATTGTTTAGAAATCCTTTCAGGCGCCTCTATAAATTAGGGGGGAAAAATTTGCCATTTAAATCGTCTTGCTGTCTGCGACTTGCTTCTGTTTCCTCTAAATTAATTCTCTCAATTCTATTTAGTGGAGCTCTGTAGCAGTGTAGTGTGTATCTATATTTGGTTTGGCTATAAGGAAATATTTGAGATGTTAGTTAAAATGTAGTTTAGGTTTTAGAATGAAATTTTGATACTGTTCATGACGAACATTATATACAAGTAACATATCTAGTATTCGAATTCTCTAATCTTCTGTAGATACTAATTACTTAATAATAGAAAGACATAAATTAACTCTAAATAGACGTCTATTATACAAAGTGAAAAATAAAATACAAATGTAAATTGTTATTGTCGTACAGTAAACGCGGCCAATTCAACAACTCGGGCTAATACACTGAACGGCCTCTTTAAAACTGTTAAGAATTACTTATTCCAATAAAAACACAAACCAACTCCATTTAGTCTCGAATCGCAAAACAAGGAAGTTTAGCCATTCAGTATTTCCTTTCTGAAGGCATCAAGGCAAACGTCGGAGAAAAAACAATTAGAGGAAAGTTTAGTTGCCGGAGCTGGCGCGATAACGCGGGGAAATACGAGCGTCGCGAGCGAGGCAGGGTAGAGTGGGGCGGGGCGGGAGTCGGGGGTTGATACCCCCGCGGTGCTTCTTAATTTGTGCGGTGTATTTGCGGGACAATGCGCGGACGTCGCGATTAATTAATTTGGAGCGCCTCAAGTGTGGGTCGCTGGCTCGCATTGTTCCAGATTTGCGTCGATTGTTTTGAATCAGCTTCGAGAGGTGCCGTAATGAAGCCGGCTTGTTGACGAGTTTTCTATTTAGCACGCAACTTTCACGCCAACTTTCAAGACTCATTAAGTTTGTTTTCAATAATATTATGTTCGGCGAAGTCTAACGACTTCACGCCTCGACTATGATCTCGTGGTGTAGGAAATTATTACTTTTTTATTGACTTTGTACTTTTGAGATGGCACTTTTTGGTTTCTTTTATTGCTAAGTTACAGCTCTTACATTCATCACATTGGACAGGTGGGCTAGTGACATTGATAAAGCAATTTGAAATAATTTACTTGGATTTTGGTGAAGACACTGAACAGCGTAGAAGATTTATCACTATTTATACGGTTTCTAAGCAACTATTGCTTATTGTTCCTTCTATAGCATTACATTGCCTAAATAAAAATATCATCTAAAATTTATACAGAAGCACAACGATTGGTTAAAAGAGATTTCTTCCAGACAAAGTATAACAAAAGTTAGGTTTAAGTAGGGTTCTAGAATACATTAGTGGCCTTCGAAAGCGATGATACTTACATTTGACCCTAAAGTGCAGCTCGTTGGAAACGGTCTCGCCCTCAGCATTGAGTGCGGAGCACGCGTACCGTCCGCTGCTGTGCCTCGTCACCTTCTGCAGTACCAGGCTCTGGTTGCTGTGCAACACCCGGGACGTCACGTTGTGGGCCAGCGGCCGGTCCTGTTTCATGTACATTCGCTATTATCACATTTGTTATCTTTATATCTTCTTAAATAAGAAATATGTTCAAAAAGTTATCCGCCTAGATCAGCCATTAAATATTATAATATGTAATATTATTTTTTATTAAAATAAACACTTTTGAGTAGTCATATTGTTTGGATTCTACCACTCATTTGGAACGCAGACTCATCACAAGATAAACGACCAAGAAACTTGCGAGTTGCTCTTTTAAATAAATATTGTTCATAATTACATTTTTTTTAATTTTGTTTGAAGTCGCAAAAACCATAAAATTAATAATTTTTCCACTTATATAAACACTAAACTGGACGTGGTGATATTACGTTTATTTATAAAAAACATTAAACATAACACGGGCTAGAAAAAGGTTAATTGTATATTCAAATTAACCAAAAAAAAAAACAATAATTAACCAAAGAAATGTAGAGTACAATCTAAACAAGAAGTTATAAAAAGACATTACTATTGTTATAAAAAAGGTAGAAGAGCAATTATCACAGTGTATTTACACAGAAAGGTCGCAGTTGTCTGTTCCTAAAATAGGCACACGGGACTAAAGTGGGGTTAGCTGAATTATTTTCTTAGGAGGTTAGAGGTATTCTATTTATGGAAGTAGAGTGAAAAAAATTTTAACTACGTGTCGTTTGAGTTGGTTAGAGATAGCACTATAAACGTCACAAGCTCTGAAATAGAAATAGAAATAATCTTTATTCAAATAAACTTAGTGTAAGAACTATTGAATAGTCACATTTCTTTTATTCTACCACTCATTCGGAATGCAGACTCATCAAGAAGAATGAGTAAGAAACTTGTGCGTTGCTCATTCTTCTTGTGACGGGCTTGGTAACTCTCTCATTGCTATATGTAACCATTCAGAATAAAGATTGCAAAGTAAGCCACTTGCTTTTTAGTACCAAAATACAAGAGATAGAAGTACCTATACCAGGGTTACCACCACCAGGGTTACCACCTTTATTAACGTGCTATTTTTTCCAAAAAATGTTAAATGGGGTCATTGACGTGCCATCAAATAATTTTAACTTTCTGATTATTTGGAAAATAATAATAATAAATACTAACAAAACTCTCTATGAAATAAAGTAAACACAAGAGAGGTACATTTTGGATTGTTTTCATTACACGCATAAATTAAATTACTGTAAAATTAGTGTGACTTCTGTCGCTGCAGGTTAGATGACAAATAATTTATGTCAGGATTGTACGATGTTACTTTTAGCAAAATGCATGCTGAACTGGATTCATCTGTCAAACGGTTTCTAACCGAGTTTTTAATGTTATTCATCTCCGAAAATAATGACTCGTAGGTATAGGTAGGTAAAAATATTGTTAAAATAGCATGAGCCAGCTTCTTCAAACAGTTTTATGATCGACGACGTGCCCAAAATATTGTGTCGCGTGCCGTCAATGGCACGCGTGCCATTGGTTTGCCTACCCTCACCTATACAGACGAATAACACAAATTGTTCATCACGTAAATGTAATTACGAAAAATTATAACAATGACACAAATTAGTACAATTTTAATAGATTTTTTGGACAATCTACACAGCGCTGTTTAGCTCCAAGCTTAGTAACGCTTGTGTTATGATTACTAGACAACTGATACAGGTACTTAGATAGTATTTTTTCCAAATACATACATAATATATATAGAAAATATGCAGATGAATACATTTGTATAGATCTGCATATTTTATATGTATACGGCACATAGCTCAAAGGAGAGATGGCCGTTGGGGCAGTAAAGTCATCGAGTGGCGACCGCGGACCGGAAGACGCAGCATGGGAAGGCCTCCAGCAAGGTGGATCGACGATCTGATCAAGATCGCTGGATGGCATCGGATGCGAGCAGCGCAGGACCGATCGTCGTGGAGATCTTTGGGGGAGGCCTATGTCCAGCAGTGGACGTCTTCCGGGCTGCGATGATGATGTTGATGCATATATTGTTTTATACATTTGTTATTAGTGTAGTTATTTGTTATAAACACTTTTATTAGTACAATCATATGATACAAATAGTACTATGCCAGGAATTGAATCTGCGGCAATTGGAAGTAAAGCGGTGTGCTAAACCGCTAGACCACTCAGGTCGTTCGTAATTTGTTCCAAAAACAGTGGTGACCGTGTGTTGTGTAGATATGGTGGACCAATATCCAATAAATGGTGACGAGATAGGAGGGTCCGGTCCCGACACTCAAATATATACGACGGCTTAACGTGGGATGCAAAATTTAATTTCAACTAATGAAGTCGCCGAACCCCGTACAAACAGAAATTGTTTACCCTCGATGACTCTGTTGTTTTGTAGAACAAGAGGAAAATTAAAAAAGACATTTTAAAAGCTGCGTGAAATTAGGAAAAAGCTTTGTATGCCTGCACGAAATGGTCGTACGCTTTTTGCTCTCATTACGTCCGCGGCAGATTTCTTTTGAATTGTAACTTATTTACTTATGTTTTCTCATTGTGCATTCTGAAAAAGTTTATAGTTTTTAAAGCAATTCTACATCGATCCACTTTTCTGTAGCATATTACGTAATATCTGAAGAAATCACGACAATTTCTTATGGAATTATAAGAAATTGTCGTCAAAAAATCATCAACAACAAAATCGTTGTTAGAATTAACAACGATTTTGTTGTTGATGATTTTTTACCTCATTTTTATATTTGGATGTCTTAATTTTGTAACTTGGAACGATTTAAATCATTATCTATATAAATACGAGTCTCAATCTAGAAGATAAATTCAAATTCAAAATATCTTTATTCATATAGGTCTATTACAGTCTCTTATAATATATCAAATCCACCGTCAGTTCGGAATGATTTCGAGATGAGAAGAACTGACAAGAAACTCAGCTCGTATTTATTTTTTAAATAAATGTTGTACATGTTCACGATAATACAGATTTATTTAAATTTGGGAGAATAGAGTGACCACCAGCATATGCTATTGCAAAAAACAAAAAATCTAATCAGTGTTCGCAACTTGAACAGACCAGTTCCCACAAGCAGCACCCGTTCACGAGTACGACGAATGAGCCAGCCATCATTGCACTCAACCATATTAGAGGGAGCACATCGACCTCATAACATAAATATTTGGGTTCTGGTTTAGATTTAAAGTAAAACTTAATGCAATGCCAATAGAGTCCTAAATAGCATCAAAGAACACTAAGATTCCAAAACTGCAAGCGTGTGTAACTAATGTATAAGTGGGTCAAGATGCAGGGCGGTGCGGCATTGTAGCGAGCCGACCTCCGCGAGGCCTCCTTCGCCATCAATCTTACTGGGGTACAACAGGTGTGTCCGACGTTTCATTATTCGTATCGCACCTTACCCTCCCTCACACGACCGAGCTGAATTCTCTAATAGTAGAGATGTGTTAACTCGAGTTGCGCATAATTCGAGTTAACTCGAGTTGAATTCTGCCAACTCGAGTATGAAGACTTCAACTGGTAAATGAATGAATCAAGTGAAAGAGCGAGAGCATGATTCTGTCATCGAACCGACAATGACATGAAATTTTCCGATCATTTGATATCATACAATTTTCACTCGTCATAAATATTTCAATATTAATTTGAGATTGTTATCAATTTTTTTCGCATATTCGTCCGATTATGTTATAATTAAAATGATTATGCGTTACATAAGTCCTTCAGCGTCTTTAAAGTGCCATTTCTCTGTAATGCCAGTGCTCTCTATAGTTCGGTGAAGCTTTCAAAGCTAGGTGCGTCCAAAAACATTAAAATTGGTCGATAAATTAAAAAAAAAATATTCCAGGTAACTCGAATCAACTCGAGTTAACTATAGTCATGTTTATTACGAGTTAGCACATCTCTACCTAATAGTGTGGAGCTTCTCCTGTGAGATCGCTGGGAGCGTCCGAAGATTCTCTACAAAAGGGAAACTACTCTACAAATAGATATATAGGTATATTGTACGATTTCGTATCGTTCTCGTTAATCTAAGAACCTGATACTGATATCTGATACGATTATCAGATCACAAATTGATGCATGATCTGCAAGATCTACTTCTTTCAATTCCGGAATATTGTTACAATTGCTCACGGATGATTGGTAATTACTTCAGTATAAATTTTCGCTTTTAATCATTATCATTTCATTACATAGTATGAAACAAAGTCGCTGTCGCTGTCTGTCCGTCCCTATGTATGCTTAAACCTCTAAAACTACGCAACGGATTTTGAAGCGGTTTTTTTTAATAGATAGAGTGATTCAAGAGGAAGGTTTATATGTATAATACATGTACACCCGTGCGAAGCCGGGGCGAGTAATTAGTAGAATCATAAAGCGCTGCTTATTTACTTTATACGTATCCAAGTATTCTATCAGTTTATTATGGCGAATTAAACAAAAATGTCTAGGAGAAAGCAGAAGGATGGCTCTTTGGGATAATGGATTTGCTATATTTTTTATATTTATACTACTATGATGACAAACAGGCATACGGCCCAGCTGATGGTAAATGGTTACCGTAGCCTATGAACGCGTGAAACACCAGGGGTGTCACGTGCTTGTTGTCGACCCTTAAGAAACCTTAATATACCCTTCATGAAGAACCCCATGCTGTAGTCTCGTGAGAAAACCTCGACAGGAAGTTCATTCGATATGAAAATAACTATGCTGTTCTATAATCTATACCTGTAGGAATGTTTACACAACAAACTACACTGACATGCATCCTATTATACACAGGCATCCCAAAATAAAGAGTAAAATTAATAAATATTAATTGTATGCTTTACTTTGGCAATATACCATTAGGAAACGTGTAATGAAACCAGCAGAAAAACTAATTAATCAAAGTAATGATATGAATTAGTGAAGTTTCCACAATGAACTGGCGTTTAATTGAAGTGGAACAGACCGAGCAATGAATATAAGATTATTATAATGAACATAAATATATTGTAGAATCATTACACAG